TGCACTAATATTTACCGTGATTTCTCTAGTACCAATCCCATGCCGAAACTGTTTAGTGATTTCACCACCGGACACTATTTTTGTTATTAGGGATATTTCTCATAATTATTTTGAGATTCTGTGCAATCTTACATCTTTCATCGTCATTCACAATCTGTTTACGAAGAAATCAATCTTACAATCCAGCACTCCAGTTGTATGCTGGAAACATTTGTATTCTCTCATCGTTTGATCTCAATACTATGCTGCAATCGATTTTGAGCCGATTATAAGTGATTATAGTTGAGTTGTATGGTTCGTTTCATTGACATCGACAGTGAAACATTGACGTGTTATCGTGAACGGAATGATTCTTTCATGCGTATTTTCATTGTGCTATGCAAAATATTCCAATGCGTTGTTTCGTACTGATTGTTTTGATTCACAAATTCATTACGTTTATCGTTGTTTCATCACTTAAAATTGGTGTTTTTTTGATGTAACAAAGAATTGATATCATAATAAGGCTTGATATCGACTTTGAATTGATCTTGATATCGACACAGTCGTGGTCTTCACATGATACACTCTTGAAACTATTAAAAACCGATCGAATTCTTTCGTAGTTTCATCAAACGATTCTTTCTTTCCACAGCAAAATCTTTCACATTTCAAACTGAACTAGCCTGTTTATGAATTGTGCATACTAGTGGATCTGTTTGTCATCTTAATGCGAACTGCCAAATCAAATGAAATTTTATCACTCTTAAGTAAATAAAACAAATCATAAATTCTCAAGGTGCATTACCAAAAAACAGCGACAATCCAAACTGAACAGTTTAAAACAAAGGTCATTTCGCTCTTTTGNAGTAAATAAAACAAATCATAAATTCTCAAGGTGCATTACCAAAAAACAGCGACAATCCAAACTGAACAGTTTAAAACAAAGGTCATTTTGCTCTTGTGTAGATGTGATATGATGTGACGTGAACATAAATTCAAGTAAATTATCCTAAATCATTCTAGTAAAATTTATCATTCTATTCTCCATTTTCATGATACTCATTCAAAATGTAATCAGTCATTTGTTCGAACACTTGTTTCGGTATGTACGACATTGTAATTACAGTGCGTTGATCATTCGGAATTCATTGGTTCATTGAATTCATTTTGTATTGGTGTTGATGCGTTAGTTATTATTGTCACTAATCAGTATAATCCGATATTTGCTGTTTCCTTTCAGAGAGTGGTATCACGCTGAAATGACTCTGGCTGCAGCTGCAAAGAAATCCATTCCATACGTGGCTTCAAATGGCCTTCGAATTATCAGCCAACGTGCGAATAGTTCTGGACCTAAAGTTGGTTTTTATTGTGAAGCATTACTATTGAATGGATTGTTGATATTCTGTACCGTTTGGAATTTGATTACTGAATGTGATGCTAGTTATAAATATCGATTATTTATCGATGTTCAATAGAGTAATAATAGTAATGATAGTATTTATTTTAAATGCCAATTTTGAGGTGGCCTTATTGGGTGCTTCCGGTGGTATCGGGCAACCGATGGCTTTGTTGCTGAAGCAGAATCCATCTATAGGTCAGTTGGCGTTGTACGATATCAGAGGTACACCAGGTGTGGCCGCAGATTTGTCACATATTGACACGAAAGCGCAAGTGAGTTTATTTGAATTTGATTGGTTTGTTTTTTGGGAGAGACCGATGATATAATAGTGCGCTGATGAGAGCCAGATCGAGAGTAGGGAAAATCATCAAAAATGGAAGTGCGTACAGAGATGGATAGTTATGTGGCTATTGGAGACGTATAGAGCTTGATAGAAAAAATCTGTTTTTGAAAAATAATTGTTACGTTGGCGCGGTATTTGACTGTCTCGTAAAATGTGGCAACAGTCTTTGCCTATTTTTTGATTTATCAGTGTGTGTAGCATTTTGATGAGAGCAAATTGATATATCAGAAAGTCTTAATTGAATAAATATTTCATAGTGATTTTGAAACAATAATGTTGTAATAATGTTTCTGAGGGAAGGATTCCATTAAGCAGTTGAAATATTACGTTAAACATCACAAATATCAGTTGGAAATATCGAACAGTATAGAAGTGATGAATCGTGAATGTTTTGATTCATGCATTTCTATATGAATAAAGAGTTATTATGTTCGTAAATTAAAGAAGAGGCAGCATGCGTGTGCAGAGCTTATTTCGATGAGGCTTTGTTCCTTTAACTGCTGTCACATTTCACTACATAAAATTCAGTCGCATTATTCCATTGAAAATTATGTTATGATTAAAGTCTATGTATGTCTCAGGTGAGTGGTTATGAGGGTGTGCATGAACTTGGGAAAGCGCTCGAGGGTGCTGATGTGGTCGTTATTCCAGCGGGTGTGCCAAGAAAACCGGGTTGGTGATGGACTATTTCAAATCATTTTAAGTTTAATTTTGTTACGATTAATTTGTCACTATTATTGTAATACTATTAAAAATGTAGCAAAGTTATTGATAAATTTGCAAATTGAAATGAGTCAACAATTATGGTAGAATAATGAAGTGAAGTGTTGTCATTCTAGGCATGACTCGTGATGACCTGTTCAATACGAACGCAGGTATTGTGCGCGATCTGTGTGATGCTGCAGCAAAGACATGTCCGAAGGCATTCATGGCCATCATAACGAATCCTGTCAATTCAACCGTGCCGATTGCATGCGAAGTATTCAGAAAGCATGGAGTATTCGATCCGAATCGTATTTTCGGCGTTACAATGCTCGACATCGTGCGTGCACAAACCTTTATCGCACAATTGAAGGTATACTTATCGTCGTCATTACTAACGGTTTATTTGCGATCTTTCAGAAGAGTGCATTGAAATTCATTCAAATGTGTTTTATAAAATTACCACGGACGCGCGTTCCAAGCTATGAAATCTATTGTTTGCATACAGTCAAATGCAGCGATATTCGCTAACTGTAGTCATGAATACTTATCCATATATCTGACAGTTGTTCACAGAAGTATCTCTGTTCAGACGCAAATATTTATTTACACTTTCTTCTACAGTACCGCGTTAAATCACTCATTTCTATTGCACTATGTTATATCTTTTTGTGAATATCAGAATGTGATTGGAATGAAGAAACTTAGGATTCCGTGACGTTTGGAAATAGGTATTTGATTCCGGTGATTGAACTTGTATTTTTTCTTTCCAAAAAAATACGAATTGTTAAAAATTTGATTCGTTCTCGGTTATGAATGATGAGCNTGTATTTTTTCTTTCCAAAAAAATACGAATTGTTAAAAATTTGATTCGTTCTCGGTTATGAATGATGAGCGAAAAAGACCGTTAAGAAGTTCAGAATGTCATTACTTTCTAATGAATGATGCTTCACCCCATCAAAATTTTCAATCTATTTGATATGTACAGTTAATCTTTTCGATATTCATTGATTTGAAGTGACGGATATTGAATTTTGATTACTAATTGTCGTTAATACTCGCATCTTTTCAGTCTTTTAATGCATGTACTTTTACAGTCTGAAAAAGTCCAGTTCGTCAGTTTGCATCGTTTAATATTCAGTGATTTGTCAAACATTTTCATCTTGAAGTGATTTTGCCATCCAAATGATATCAGCAATATTGAATGCAGAAATATTTCATTGCTCCTTGATAAGGTGTTATGATGGTAATAATAATAACAAAACGAAAAATATTGCAGGGCTTGGATGTGAGCAAGACGAAGGTACCCGTAATTGGTGGTCATTCAGGTGTGACAATAATTCCAGTTCTGTCACAAATGAAACCAACATGCGGATTCACTGACGATGAAGCGAAGAGCTTGACTGCACGAATTCAAGATGCCGGTACAGAGGTGGTTAAAGCTAAGGCCGGAGCTGGTTCAGCAACACTGTCGATGGCGTTCGCAGGAGCAAGATTCGTGGATGGATTGATTGGTGCTGTTCAAGGAAAGCGTAGTGTTCAAATCGCATATATACCCTCAACTGCAGTCAAAGGAGTTGACTACTTCTCAACGCCTTTCGAACTTGGTGTATGTTTATTTATCGTTTTATATTTGACTATTTTACTGTTCATTTATTCTTTTTCATTATCATTTTATTAACTGAATACTATCAAATAACTGAACATTATCATTTTATTCTTTTTCGTTACTCAAAAACAAATTGTTTATGCAGAAAACATTATGTCTTCTCACTCGTGAATATCATAGCATTTTAGTTTTAGGGCTATCCGATTTTGCTAATCCCGTTAATTCATCTAATGTAAGCGGTGCGGTATATCAGTAAACAAGAAAGCATTATAATAAAGCGTCCGTCCACTCAGTGAACAAAAATTTTTTAAAGATCACAGTGAACTGTGATCCTAAAAGTATTCAGTAGTAGAAAAAATCGCTAAAGATTTCTTTGCTAATTTCAGCCATATGGAAATGAGAAGATATTAGGAACAGGTGCGTTGAATGACTATGAGAAAAGCTTNNNNTTTTTTTTTTACGTCGTACAGTTTTTCATTCAGAGAGTTTTGATGCGTATAATGTTGTGCTATTAAATGAGTAGTAATGAATCCATTAACAGTGCAACGGTGCATCGATTCTTTGAACCGTTGTGAAAGCCCGAAAAACAATAACTATGAGGAGCAGAATGAGCTGGATAAGTTGCAAAAATAGAAAATTAAAATGGAATAAGATTTCTAAAAATGTGACCAAACATCTCCGCAGATATTATCATGGCTGATGCAATCCGTTGTGTTTATTGGTCATCATGAGATCCGTACTTAAAATTATTTCCGTATCCTTGAAGTAACTTTAAATTTTCTACCACTGTATCCCTGGTTCCGTTTAGGTGATGAACTACGTTACTATGAAGGATTCGAAATTTATTTTTCATGAACTGTTGAAAGGAAAGTCGCGATTTTTAGTTTTTACTACTCAAAATTTTCATTGTCTCAAGAAGAGTTCCTGTAAAGTTGCGTGTGTCAACTGCTCTG